GGGGGAGCATGCACAAGTGCAATTATCGTAGGGTATCCCGAGCTTCTTTTGTATCGATTCGATGTAGTGTTTTCCCATGCTGAATGTGTATTCCGGTCTCGCCTCGTGAAGACGCATGCTCTTTGCGTAAAGATGAAGGCCAGTCAAATGAGTTTCCGTGTGCCTGCAATCTAACGCCACCCCCCTGCTCTCAAACCAATCTAGCATCTCAAAGTTATGATAGAACCAACTTTGCAAAAACGGTGTCCACCCGTGCTTATCGGGTTTGTCGATGTCGTGAAATCCAGCACACAATAGTCCGTCTGCTGCATCCGGTGTCATGTGAGCCTTGGCATAGCCGGTTGCAGTGGAATCATACAACCCCTTACCATCGAGCTCGAGAGCCGGAGGGACATCGATCCCGTGACACAGAAGCCTTTCGACGATCGACGGCGCATGGTGTTCCTGTAGCCCGTTGGGCGCTAATCCAAGCTTGTCAAAAACCGATGGTGGCAAACACAGGTTGGCCAGATCAATAAGACGAGTATGTCGATCAGTTAGCGCTCGGGTGAGATGAAAAAGTATGTCTGATCTTTGTTCTTCGTTCTGCAAGCTTAGCGCATATTGAAACAGGCTGTAGTCTTGTGCTGAAGTAAAGAGCCCGCAGTCTGCGTTGAGCAAGCATCGGACAGAATCGATCATCCCTAGAGCCACGGCAAGATGTACAGGTCGCCGACCATAGTTGTCTTCAATGTTCAGATCCACACCTCTTTCCACTAGCATCCTCAGTCCGGTTGGCCATAAGACGGCGAAATGGATCGGCGCAAGACCATTGATCGGTGATTTACGGTTCAAAACCGATAGCTTAGTCTTTTTAATCATGCGGTAGAAATGCTCCTCCTGCTGTTGCAGAATGGTTGGCACAAAATCGCCCAAGTCCATGACTAAAATGAATGATCAATAGGAGTTTATTTCGAACAAACTAAGCCACTTACTATCGATTTGATCTTCAAACAAGCTTAGTTGTGTGATATCCCGGCGAAACCCAGTACATCTATCACCTGCGGATCTGGAACCTATAAAAGGTTTCGATGTGTGTCCCTCAGCCTTTACGAGTAGTTCAAGGATGGTCTGGAGTGTTTTGGGCGCCACAGCACCGGAGAATGAAAGGAAATACATTGGGTCCATGAGTTGATCACATGTGGTCCCCCCATGGTGCCTTGTATCACCGAATGTAAAGGACAGCTTGGCGTCTCTTATCACGTTGGGATCGGCACCTTTGTCCAACAAGAGTTGAAGAAGAGCCGCGAATTCCGGAACGCATGAAGAACCATTATATCCATCATGCATAGTGAAAAGCCGAACGATTTCCTGGCAAATGCTCGTTAAATCATGTGTCTGCCACTCAACTGTAAAGACTTACGTTCAAGACGGTGCGGCCATCGCTGTCTACGTCGAGGGCTGAAGCTTCTCCGTCGTCGAGTATCCGTTGCAGAGTGTTGTGGAGCTGAGCCACAACGTGAGGGTGACGACAAGTGCGTTGAGAGTTTTCAAGCTCACTGAGCTCGTTGTCAGTGTTCGCGATCGCAAGAAATGCAGGTGACGTCTGCGAATCAACAAGTCGGCTTGTACCGATTACGATTGGACTGACTGAGAATTGATTCATAGTTGACCAGTTCCTTACCCGAGTACCAAAGTCGATGGTATGGTAAAGAAGCCACGAAGGAGGAACAATCTGCATGGTAACCTCAAGGCTTTGCTCCGCTTTTCGGTAATCCGGACAGTATGAGAAGTGTTGCGTCCGGAAAGTTCGTGTGAATCGAAGTATTGATAATGGCTGCCAGCGACGCGCAGTACCAACAGTACGGCATTTGCATCTTTGTGCTCTACGACCATGAATCACCGTGGTTCGCTGTACTCGTTGGCTTATCGGGAAGCCGTCATACATGTGGTCCGTGACGTAGCCGGGCTGTGCGTGGGGATTGTGTTTGCCTGGGCTCACAGTCAACTTTTCGATGGCTGCGATAATCTGCTCTGTATTCGCCAATATCATTGCCGTGCTCTGGTGACTCGACTCCCTTGTCAATACATCCGCATCGTATCCTCTTAGGAGGCGTTGGGTATCGTGTAAGATGTGTTCCGTTGTGATGGATGTGGTTGCTATGGTTCGGTCGATCTGTTCGATGTGAGGAAGCAGCTGTGCTGTGTTTGTTGCCATACTGTTCGTGGTGTTATCCACTGTCTTGACCAGCGTCAGCGTATCGCCAACGTCAAGCCGCGTCTGGTCTGTGGTCGCCGCGATACTTGATATGAGCTTGCTGTATGCTAGTCAGTACAGTGGCATTCCATAAGCCGGCCGGCCAGATTCTGCATGGCTAGGACTCCACTTACAGATTCGCTGCTTCCAGCCACAAGGAGAGGGTGCTCTTCTTCTGTTCAAGTCGATCACATATGCTTGCCACCTCTTCTTTCTTACGGACAGAGCACATAGCATCCCAGCCTCGTCGCAACACACCATCATTCTTACGGCCGAGCAGACCTTCCAGCGTCTTACATAACTCTTCAGCGAGATCGATGTACTCAGCTAGAGGCGTGTCAAACGTCGAGGACGCTACTGCCGTCGCGAAACCAGGCAGGCGGTGGTTCTGAATCTGTTGCGCGATCTCGATTTGCTGACGTAGGTCGGTCTGCAGCTGAACAAAACGCCGCGGTACATTGCGCACATCTGAGCAGAAGCGTTCGAGACAGGATGAAAGGCGGAGAGCTACGTCCACGAACTGGACAACAGCGGCGACGGCGCCCACGACCTCCGCCATCTGAGGAATTGCGATGAGAAGGGTGAGTGTCAGCCGCGGGGAATGGGCTCATATGCATAAGCACGGCTGACTTAGCTCATTCTGAGCGAATAGAATGGGTGCATGATCATGTTCATGGTGTTGGCGAGGCTGAGCTTCAGCCTTGCAACCAGATTGATGAAGGCGATGAACTCGAGTCAGGGTTTCGTCGTGAGTTAGATGTCATACATGGTTAATTCAGAGGTGCCGGGCCGTGACTGGTATTTGATGTGGATTGTTCACATCATTGTCGTAGTGAAAGTCAAAGTGAAGGCAAGCGTAGATGAGATGGATGGCAGCTGCTGGACCCTGACGCTAGCGGTCACTCGCGGTTAGCGCCACATTCATCGGAATCGCCTTCCGAGACGGCGCGGCGACAATCGTAAGCTCTTGGTAGCCTAACCGCCTTCTCGAGGCTTCTGATGCTTGCTCAGCTTCGTTATTACACACTGTCGCCTCCGTATTAGCTCTCTAGCATCTTCTTCACTCAGACATCCACACGTATATCATTCTCATAGCCACCGCAACTATGGCAGCCAACGAATCAAGCTACACCGAGATGAAGGGCGACTTAGAAGCAATCGGGGCGCATTGCCAGATGGAATACTGCAATGTACTAGACTTCCTGCCGTTCCGCTGCGAGAGTTGTCACGGGTAGGTCCTTACCACATCCCAGGCTACGCGTTCCACGCGTCCACGGTACCTACACAACATACACCATCATACTAACAACCACTCCAGGAAATTCTGCCTCGACCACCGCACCGAATACGCACACAAATGCCCTAAAGAAGGCGAATGGGCGCGACAAAAAGCCAAAAACGCCCAAAACACCACCCCCTCCGCCCCCAAACCCAGCGTCTACAACCACGACTCACAATGCGCCGACCCCTCCTGCAAGACCTTCATCGACACCGCACGCGCGCAAGGCGTCCACTGTCCCCGCTGTAACAGACGATACTGTCTCAAACACCGCTTTGAAGAAGACCACTCCTGCTCCACCTTAACACCCCTCGGCGCGCGCCCCCAGAACTATGTCCAAGCACGCACGCAAACCGCTCTCACTCGGCTAAAAGCATGGGCAGAGCAAAAGAAGAAAGATGATGAGAAACGGCGCTCTTCATCCAAGAAAACAGGCGGTTTCCTCGGCCTAGGCAAATCCTCTTCCTCCGCCGCATCCTCCGCGCAAGCCGAACTCAACGCCCTCAAACGCGTCGCCAAAGGCGAGGCCAGCATCCCCGCCGAGAAACGCATATACCTACACGTCGAAGCCTCGGCCGACACCACAAAAGCGAAATACCCCACGGGGAAATTCTTCTACAATAAAGAGTGGACTGTAGGACGTGTACTGGATATGGCAGCGAAAGCGCTGCAGGTGCAGAATGTGAATAACCGGGGTGGGGGCGAAGAGGAGAAGTTACGGGTTTTCCATGTTGAGGGGGGACGGCTGCTCAAGTTTAGTGAGAAGATTGGGGAGCCGTGTCAGAATGGGAATATGATTGTGCTGTTGAGAGGGGTGGGGAGTGGGGAGGCGCCGGATTTGATTGATTTGTAGATGGGAGGGGGGAGTGGGAGCATTGCATGGCATGGCGTTTTGTGGATGTGTTTTTGCGCTGGAGATACCCTGGTGCTTATGGTGGCATGATTGAATGAATGGATGAGTGATTGTATATCTAAAGACAGCGTGCATATCTCATGTAAGTCGTGATTCAGTATGTCAACTTCCCTTGAGCAAGGAACAACGAGCCCGTCCCAGCTACTCATGAACACAGACGTAGGCTTGATACGATCATTATATTTAGATTTATCCTAATTCGGTACTGATACAGCACTAAGTGGGCGTCGAGCACTTCGAACGCCGGTGCTATCTCCCGTCGCTTGTAGATGCAGAAACCCCAATGTAAACGCCAATCGCAACGCTGTATCGCATGAACCATGCCCTTGGTATATACCCATTGCCCTCTCTGCTTGTGTGCTTGATCGCCTCGAGCCATACGGTCAGCACACGCCGGTGTGGGATGCTTCTGACCTTCCTGGGCGCGTCCCAGTCTCCGCGGCGGAGGTGTATCGTTCGCATCCGTAATGGGGTTTGTGTCGTCGCGCGACGAACGTCACTGTCTGGATCGAATATCGCTCGACGTATGTATCGCAGCACGTATCCATCTCTTGCCACTATTCTTCACCCATTCAGTCGTCCTCGTGCTCCTTATTACTGCACTTCAACCCATGTATCTTTGTCCCCCAACCCACACTCCCGAGGTTATTCGCGCCATCGGAAATAGCGAGGAACTGATCCATGTTTTCGTCGCCGCTGCAGTCGTAATTGCTGTGGTATTATTAGCTGCCACCCTCCAAAACCCGATACAACACAGTAAACTTACTCATAAAACCGACAGCTCCAGTAATCATCCCTATCCAACACAGCCTTGACGTCGTGTCCGCCTACTAAGATACTTTGTACGCGCCCATCGATGCTGTATCCCCTACGTTAGCTTGAGTCCCCAAATGACGCGCGGAAAGACGGGTGTGGTGTGCGCAACATACAGATTATTATCCAGCGAGAGACACTGGTTATTATACGCGTCAACACTGACTTCGCTCAGAAACGAGGGTGCGGCAAAGAGCTGCACTTTGATCTTTGTGCCGCTGATGGTGTCGTCGGCTAGGACTGTGCCTGTCCATGCCGACAGCAAAAGCAGTGTAGACACGGGAACGAGGCGGCTACTGGGCTTCATATCGGCGGCATGCGATGCGTCCGAGGAGTCGCGCAGCGGGTGGTCGTAGGAAGGCGCGCGGTGAGGGCACGGTGGTCGGGGTAAAGCGTGAGGGACGGCGTGCGACCGGCGATGAGGAAAGGATGAAGTCGGTGGTGGATGACGGCAGGTGTGTGGGTCGGGGGTCAGGTGGGCGATGTGGTTGGGCGGAGTGGGAGGGATGCACCGCCTCCTCATTGCCGTTATGACCGCACGGACGTTTGCGACGGGATCGTGACTGCCAATCTCCCTATAACCTCTGCATACATAGCTTGTCTTCACGATGCGGCAATGCGAATGCGCGATATATGTCGTCTCGGTGCTAGACAGACTGCGAGCTTGTGCGATTAAACGGTGCGTATATGGCTAAAGGCTGCGTGTGCTAGTTCTCGAGTCCGGCTTCGCGACTTGACGTCACATGCTATTCCACAACAATATTGCGCCTATATAGCTAGGACGACTTCGGGCCCGATCGTGTTCACTAAGAAGGGATCGAGGGTCTAGGGCTATCACCCCGATGTCCTTATCGCATGCTGTTTATCGCGAGAACTACAAGGCGGTAAATGTGCAGACATGTCGCAGAGCGTTCGATTCTGAAAATGCGGTTTCGACTACCCCGGTACAATGAGTTCCCGAGGGATTGGAGCAGGAGATCGAGCGGACGGTGCTCGCTGTGAAGACGGTATACGAGTAGTCGTTGCTATCATTTCATTATATCTTTTATGCAGTCTAAATGACGATCAGGATTACTGACACACCAATCTAAAACACATTCCTCGTACTGGTGACCTCGAAATCTGTAGTCACCATTACATTATCTTTCCCATCTTGCAAGCGTGACCCATCAGTGGTTCCAGTTGGTGTAGGGCTAGCCTTTCGGTCCAGAAAAGTCAACTCCATTTCATCGTCCATAGTGCCGCCCTGAATGTTCGAGCTGTGCCCGTTGAAGTTGATACCTTTGCTACCAATCGTTTTGCCAGAGCCAGCTTGCAGATAGCCTGAGTTGCTGCGGTTGGATGAGGTAGCGGGTGTAGGTTTGATGATGAGTGCCTTCAAGGACGGGAGCGAGACGACGATGACGGCTGTGCACATCTCGGCCGTGCACCAAAGGTCTGGGGGCTGTTAGTGGAGGATTGGGGAGGGGAGATGGGAAGGGTGACGTACTGCCGTCGGCGTCGGCGATGTCGTAGTCCATGTTGTAGACGATGAAACGGGCGAGACTGATTGCCATGGTGATGGCGCCTAGAGAGAAGATTCCGACCAGGCCGACCTTTTGTCTTCTACGCAGCTTCAAGCAGTTGAAGATGAAGAATGGCAGGCCGAACACTGGGGACAGCGTTAGCTCATAATTTGCAAGGTGAATTCGGGCTACTTACGCAGCAGATCGGTGCCAAAGTTGAGTGTCCAGTTGACCACCAGATTGGAGTACGTGTTCCATGTTGAGTTGAGCTGGTTCTCGATAGACCTTTTGAAAAGTAGATGTTAGCCAAGGAACCACTTGATCGAAGTAAGGGGAAAGGTCGTACCAGTTGTCGGAGATATTTGGCGCGAGAAGAGTATCGCACAGTATGCTCGCAACGAAGCAGGCGATCACGATCGCAGTAGTGGCATAGACTGCGTAACGAAGACGTCTGAAGCCTTGCGGGATCAACCACCAGTAGAAAGCCACCAGCGAAACTTTGGGGAAGTACAACCCCGTGTCGAAGAAGTAGATAGACACGAATACGACCTAGCAGCAAACATCTGTCAGCTCACTCTTCTCGTTGCGTATCTTAAAGGTCATGTTTTTTTTTGACGTACCTTCAGGTATTCGACAGAGTCGCTCCTTGTCTCCTCGTCCAGAGGATGATCAATCAAGATATAAAGCGCTCTCGTGGAACAAGCAAACCATCCAAGCGCGCAGATGAATCCTCCCCATACGAGGTAGTCGGGTAGAGTCAACGAACGGTGCTCCATACAAAGACGGACCCAACATCTTAGGATCGTAACACCCAGTGCCAACACGAGGAGTATCCCCTGGATGACCTGTGGATGTGAGTGAGACTTCAAATCATTCGGACTCGCGTAGTTCTTACGATAGAAGTGACTATCTCCATCGCGGCAACATACACACACACAGTATGTGTGGCCGGTGGAGTTTAAGTTCGCCCCAATGGCAACAAACGGAGAGAAGTGGTGAGTGAGGTCAAGTGCGAACTCTACTTGGGGTTGTTTGACATCTTGACACCTGCATATAGCGGGCAGCGCGAAGCCTAGGGTCAGGGTAGGTTAAAAGGGAGTGGTATGATCCGGCGTCTTGTGCTACACGTCGGAATCATGAGTCGCATAGTTCCAGGCGGCTGGTAGCGTCTGTCCCGTGCTGATCAGTAGTCGATCAACCGGCTCCGCGGCCACTGCGGGTGAGACGAACCCTTTTTTCCTTTTGCTTAACGGGCATGAGAAGCTTCGGTATTCTGCGAATACGAGCTTCGCACTGACGTGACAACGTTGCCCGAACGTCATGAGGTTATCGCAACGTTTGTACGCGCAAGATAGATAGCAGGTATCAACATGCCTCACTCTTATGGCGCCGCGTCTCGGACGTGAGCGGGAACATTCCCCGTCCCGTCCATAATTTATCTTAATCTTGCCGCGAGTTGTACAGTCTCTGTCGTTGGGCAGGCATTATGCATACACGGAACTGACAGAGGGAGCTGAGCAAACAGTGAAACACCAGTACCATACCAACACAACACTAGAAGAAGCCAAAGCAGCTCGAGAACTTCTGAGCCGCGAATCGGGACTCTCGAATTCACAGATAACGTGGTAAGCTAATTGCGGGCGCCGTCACGAAGTGCTTGAGTCCATCAGTGTCCTTGGTTGAGCTTGTCGCGGAGCTACCGCACGCTACAGAGTCTTTCTGGGATATCCTCGTGGCTTCTGCCCAGCCGGTCCAGTTTTGCGTTGAGACAGCCTCGTGGCGATGGACGACGCACGCTTGACTCGCGGCAGGGTCAGATAGCAGTCCAACGACTTGGCGATTTCGCGGGGTTGTCTCCGATCAGCATGCAATCCCTCGGAGTGGTCGCGGTCGACTTTCCCTCGACGTTGTCGGTCCTTCTTCACTCATGAAGCGACTGGGAACCTGCGTGCGCGTCTGACACGCCGTAGGCTAAATGTCTTTATTTTGCGATCGAAGGCGTTCCGTAGCGCCGTGGTGGATTCCTTGTTTCTCCAAAAGCCCCGACCCTAGATTCCACAATCATCGCGCACTGATCTACAGATCTCTGTGGAGTGGGCCAACGGACCCGTGGAGATGGCCTGGATCAGAGGTCGAGGGTACAGTACCCTTGGCAAAATCAGCGTCTGGCGTCGCAGCCATGCTCCGACCCTCCAGGGGCTCTACGCTAGAGGGGAATGACGCGACATCAGCAAACCTTATACAGTAGGGCCAACTGTGCCACTTTGATATCTAGATCATGTCAATAGGCTTACAGATTTCCAGATAAATGAGCTTGGTATGGAGCGCGAGATTTCTCGGCACAAGATATCTCGGCAAAGTCAAGAACATGATGCGCGACTCTTGATCGCGCCATTCTGGTAACTCGCCTTGAGAGGGGAGCGCAAACTGGTGACGCTCGTATATCCTCCTTGGGGACAAGATAAGATCCAGGTATCGTCGCGATGTAAGAGCAGGATGTGGTAGAAAGCGGTCCAACCCAGCCCGTCACGCAATGCAGGCCATCGCAGCTTCCTAGCTTAAGACGACGACGGGCTGATTTCATCAAGAGGATTCGAGCAGTTCAAAGGTAGCTCTTTTCAACCATGGGAGCCGATAGGAGACGTTCGATGCGATACAGAAAAGATGGCGGTGGTCCTGGTGTCCTGGAGATTATGGACGGCATGGCTTTGGTGATGGTGGCACGCACGAAAGACCTGGTCAAAGCTCCTTGCTGAGTAACTGCACCCGTGCACTCGTCCCGATTCATCCCTCCTCAGCGGAAGGGACCATCATAGGGCTTCCAGCATGTACAATGTCACTGAGGCTCTCTTCGCCGATATATCTTCACTGCCTCAGAATTGAGCCGCCCTCGAGACGCCCTTGTCGTGGCTGCGTCACCGCTTCGTTGCTTCCTGCTACTTGGTCCGACCCTCCCGCAATGCCGGTCCCCTTAGCAGCCGCACCGCAATGGTGTATACGACAATAGCAACGAGGCTCGCGCTCGCCCACGTCCCGTAAGACTGAAAGTATGTGAGGTCCCTCTGCTTGTAGCCAGCAATTTGCATCGACGTCGTTCGCAAAAGCCCGCTGAGAGAGCCAATGACCAGATAGTCCTTCAGACCAACATTGGCAAGATCCATCTTCAATGCGCGCTGATATGGTGGAAAGGAACGCGTTGATGGAGGATGGGTAATCAATTAACGACTCAGCAGTGGCTTGGAAGGTTCTGATGACAAAATTTTCCGCGGCTATGGCATCTAAACGATCGAGATAAGAGTGGTGGATGTAGGCTTCGGGATTTGGGTTCTCCATGCAGGGCTGAGGCACTCCTAGCTTGGCAACCTGAGAACAAAGAAACACCCACCGATCACTTTTCATATCGGCGCTACGGCATGTTGACAATGCTCCCCACGACAAGAGAGAAGTTCACAAACGACGAGCGGCGGAACAGAACGTTGACGCGACATCTATGGCAGCCGAATTGAGAGCATCCCGAAGTTCTCCGCCCACGTGCTGCGTTCACGAACCTAATTCGCTTATACCGCATGCTCATCTCGTACTTCCAGCCAAAGTCCTTCAGAGGCTGCGATGAACGCCCCTTTGCGGCCATGATCCCTGTGTTGGACGGCTTTCCGTGCGCCGGCACCACAGCCCGCCTGCGCCTTTGTCAGGGTCTCGGAAGCCAGTCTTCCACCCGGTAGGAATGAACGCCTGAAATGTCACTTCTAGTGACAAGGCTGGATTAAAGCATGCTGACAAGCAATCAAACATCAATGCCGGG